GCTCTATCTGGGTCTGGTATTTCTGAGCAAGCCTGGAAGCAAAACTCGTCTCAGAAGATGACCTCTACTGAAAAAAAAGAGGTTCCTTCAGACTTCAAGTATCCTCAAGAAGGCAGATATCCTAAGGATTACTGTTCTGATATGACGGTTAAAATTCTATATACAAACTCCTGAAGTTCTGGCATCCTCTTGAAGATCTGGACAAAAGCAACCAAGACTGAGATGGCAAAAGGAAAAGCATTTATAAACTTTTCTGAGTTTAAGATTGAAAATTCTGTCTCTTTGTTCCTCTTTTTAGGACAGCAGATTTAGGTTTAACGCTCTATGGTGAAAGTTTGCCAACACAGTTGCTTTTATGCAGCCTCTAAGAAGTACAATTTGACTTCTTTTTAATTGCACATGCTTTTTTTTAATTTATTTTAAACTATATTGATACTTTCTTCCCTTACTATTAAAAATGGCAAGGTTTTGTTCTTTCCAGTATGATAAAAAAATTGTTGTTCAATCAACCATAGTGGATCACCATAATTTAAAAGCATTTAACCTGTACTGCATTTCCACACTGTCATTTTCTGCTCTTCACCAGGACGCATACATACAAAACCAAGAGATTCAAGTGGTGAAAATCACCACAGTCATTGCTTTGTCTTCAGTAAGTTATTGAGAGGTGTTAAGATAAACTGAAAACAGCACCAGTTTCACTGTACTAAAGGTTGCATATAAGGTATATCAAGTTCTGAGAATGCCAGTAATAACACTAAATTGCTTCAACTGCTGAATGCTCAAAGCAAGTTAACTAACAGCTACTACTAGCAAACTAACATTCAGTTACCACAGAACAAACTTCACAGTTTTTAAGACGTAGCACTCAACTACACTTCTGTCAGAATAAAACAGGTAAAAACCTCTGACGATGTTTCATGTACATAAAACAATTCAACTTTCTTTCAAGCATATGTGAGATGCAGATGCTCATAACCCTATATTCATGTACGTGCTTGCAGTAGATCAGTAGATAACTGAGAAATACCTGTAGAATAAAACTCCCATCTGCCTATGAAACATCACTTTAAGACGTAGTTTGCTGGTGGTCAGGGAAGAAAGGGTATTCTACAGATAGATTAACAACTAACGGAGTCTGAGAATTCAAAAAGAAGTCCCAAAAAAAGCAACAACATCAACAAAACTGACCTCTTCAGGTGTTCACATCAACTACGATGAACTTGGATCTTTTGCAGACTCCAGATTTTCCTGCACACATGCAGGCATTAATACAGCCAACAAGTAGAGAATTGCCTAAAAATAGCTCTAGCAGCCTTTCCTCTAGAATGCAAACACTGCCGTTAAATACAACATGGCAACACTTGGGATCAGTGTGGATTTTGAAATACCACATGCAAGCTATTCAGGTTTCTTTAAACAACAAAAATAGCAATAAAAATAATGTCAAACTTTGTCTTGCTGGTAAAAATATCTCATTTTCCAAATGTAAATGTTAAAAAAAAAAAAAAACCTGTAATGGTTTTTACATACCATAGATTGCTTAAGTGGTACACTCAGTGAAACAGATGTCATTGCACAATATCTCTGTTCCACCCACATTCTGTTCTCCTAGTTGCCAAACAGAACTGTTTTGAGTTATTTACTGAGTGATCAGATTGAAGTATTTCTGCAAGGATCTCCACGCTACATGAAAGAAAAAAAAAACAAACAACAGTACTTAAAAAACCAAAATGGAACTGCACATGATGTTCTATTGTGACTTAATTTGGTCAACATGCCTTTGCTAGTAGAGACTACCAAGGAAGACCAAAACCTCAAAAAAATCTTATCTTTACAACTTGATTTTTTTTTTCTTTCTTCCTGACCCTTACATTGTTTCAACTTTGTGTTTTTAGACAACTTCGCTCAACCAAGGAAAACAAAGAATTATCACTAAATCTTCTGTCTCAGTACCCAGAATTATTTTTTCTTGAGTAGAATATCTACATGCAACCCTAAATCCATGCCATAATATTACTTAGGTTGGAAGGGACTTTTGGAGGTGTCTGGCAGTGGGACTGTAATTTCAATTATTGGCCCAATTCACCCCACAGCACTCAGTGAAGCTTTTCAGCAATACACTACGCGTGCCATTCTCCACTGTAGAACATAGCTATCTGATTTTTGTTCTGTTCTTCCACGGTGTCTTGTTTTTGAACCTTTCCTCCTTCCTTCTCCCAACCTTGTCACAGTGATCTTCGGTTGATTACAGACTGCAGTTAGGCTTCCTCAGTGAGATGGGGAAGGAGACTAACCTTGCCAGCTGAACGCTGCACAGAAAGACCAAAACAACACTAAATCAAAAACAAAACAAAACAAACTAAAACATACCTACTCTGTTCTCATCAGTGTCAAACTGTCACCAGAAATCGAGTTGTAAGATTTCTCTAAACCTGTAATCTTTTAAGAACCCAAACTGCATTTGGTTAAAAGTTAGTGAAGGAAAATAGAGAACAAAATAAAATCCATATATTCTGCATTCACATTCACAGTGAACTGATATACAGGGCAAAAGAACTTTAGGGAAATTTGCTAAGCTTGAATACTTGCAGAATTCGGGGTGGGGGGAAGAAACAAACAATGAACAAACAACAAACAAATGAAAATAAACCCACAAGCACTTCAATTCTCAAACATAAGAAAGAGGCATCTAAAACATGCCTAGAGATACGCGTGCATTCTGCAGCAGAGTGAATACATATCTAGCCAGTGATGGCTAAGCAGAAAAACCTTATCTATGACCTTATCTCATAGTAAGTACTGTCCTTGTTAAAAATGTGAAACTTTCTTCAACCTCTCAAGAAAAGTGGCACTAAAACTACTAATGTTAACATCAAAATACATTTTAGTATTCCAAAGGTTTCTCTTCTCATCAGATTTTCACTCGTCAGTACTTGTTTGCTATTAAGCCACCTAACCCTTCAACTTTCCAGCTTTATGTTGCCTTATTTAGAACTCTGGACTTTGCTGAGCTGCTTTCAGATTACAACATAAAGTCTTAAGGATAAATAAAGCAAGCACGTTTCTTAGCAGACCACTTGCCACTTTAGCAACAGCAGAATCAATAACGGATAAGGAGGAGTATAGTTCCCAAATTTTTCATTCCCATCTAATTTCTCTGCATCTGTAATATGAATACGCTTCGAGAAAAAGCGGTGGGTACATCAAACTATGAGAGTGCTTCAGGAGTGAATGAACTTGACTTTTTTTTTGAACATCAGTGTACTTAAAGCATTTATTCAGTGCCCAACGTGGATCTATTTTTCCATCCAGTTGAAAATAACTGAGCACTTACCATGTTATTCTAGCTATTCTATGCAACCCTGTAGCAGAGAGTCCAATGCAATCGATTCGCATACTGACTAGAGTTTCAGGCCAAGTATGTATTCACGTGTCCTGCAAAGCTAGTTTCTGAGCAGATGATAGTGCTCTAGTTGTTGATAGCTTTTTGATATCCATAGTCCCTTCCTATTATTGCTCACATCTAACACTGACTGTGGAAGTATTTACAACACACTGTGAAAGAACACATTTATCTGGAACCAAACGAATGCAGTAAAAGAAGCACTTCATTCATTAGCGCAAATTGTTGGTGATCACTCTTCATTTTCTTTTAAAAAACCCAAAAGATGCATTTTGAGAAAGATAAAGACAAGCATGCTGATTTTCAAAAAAATTCGAACGAAGAGGAAAGTATGAAATTACAAGAAAGTGTATATGTTAGATTTGGTAAGAAAAAATAAATATTTATTTCTTTGCTTATTTAAGAGAGAAAGTCATGTCTTTATTTGGATCAACTTTTCTGTGGTTTCAGTTCCTAAAACTAAAAACACCTGTTTGTACTGCTCAGATATCAGTATTGTTCTTCAAAGTTCGGCATACAGAATCATCAGTATTCTGTCAGCCACAGGCAGGTAGCCTGTCTCATTATAGGAGCCCAGTCTCTCAGTCATTCTGTTATCTGCTTGTACACTGTTATGGGGTTGTGTCTCTGCTAAAGTACTAATATGCCATTGTGAAATGAAAGAAATGAGTGAGGTGTTCCCTGACACTGAATAATTACTGGATAATAAAACCTTATCTGATGAGTAATTCTATTGTCAAATAAAACTAGACAGTTTGATTTCATTATCAAGTATTCAGTTAAGATAGTGTCTACATACATAAGTACGTACGGGTTCCACTTCAAGAGTCCTTTAAATTCAGTCTGCTTTAAGAAAAGATCTTTTTAAGAGATTATGACAGTTTCTGAACATTCGCTGATCACAGACTTTTTTTTTTTTTTTTTTTTTTTTTTAACATGGCAAATTCTGAAGACAACCCTGCTTAGTTGAAATACTGTGAAAGGAAAACCACCCAACTAAACAGAGTACCTCTGGGTTTTGCCATTATGATCACTGCTTTTCCAGATAATTCTTTTTCATAGAATGTCAATAATTAGAATAGGATGTTGGCATACCATATGAACACCAGTAAATGAAAAACATCTCCAGAAAACATCTATAAAAATGACATTATGTATTGCTTTGAGTGCAATTGCTTTTTTTGAAGAAGGAAGTGCATTAACAGCCTTTAAAAAGCCAAATCTTGTCATGAGATTCCCCACAGCTATTGTTACTGCTGAACTGAAAGGCTCAGGGAAAACAAAAACTATTATATCTCAGACCTCATCAATGTTGCAAAATGCTGAACAAAGGTTTATGTCATTCCAATGGCATTTTGTTCTGCTCTCTGTGCAATTTGGATCATTCTGGAGCTAAAAGCTATTGATTTACTAGAAAGCAGCTTCATGTTTTGTATTTTCAATCCTATTGGTCTGATTAAACAAAAAGACCTTTCAGCAAAACACAGAACTTTTTATATTGCTAACTGGACTGCACTCAAGTCTGTTACAATAAAGAAGGAGTCAGCACTGATAGCAGCAGTATTACACTTATGCTCATTAAAAATCAACAAACCTTTCCTTCAGCGTCTCCTGTTGTAGCCTTCTCAACCTTGTTCCTGTTTAAAATTTTTTTCACCCATTCTTCCACTTGAACATTGAACTTCATGAAAGTCACATAGCAAAAGTATGCTGTCAGGAGCGTTAAGCTTTCCCACCACATGATTAAGTTATCCAGAAAAAAGATGATTAGCAAGATCAAGTCAACGATGTAAAAGGACACATCTCGAAAGAGTGGCCACCAAGTAAGATTCAAGATTTCTCTAGAAAATAAAGCACACATTCCAATCACGAACAGGATATTAAACACAGCAGATCCCACTATTGTCCCAATGCCGACATTGCTGTGGGATATAAACACTCCTATTAAAGAAGTGAAGAGTTCTGGGGCCGAGCCACCAGCTGCCATGAAGGTTGCCCCTGCCACATCATCGGATATGCTCAGCTTTTCAGTGATGACAGTCAAGGAAGGAACAAAGAACTCATCACAGACTATGGCTAAGGCTATGAACATGTAAATCATTCCAATAATATGCAGTATCACTGCACCCTTTCTTCGTTCTTCGAGAGAGAAAAGGTCCTCTGGGTACTCTCCCTTGGAATGCTCTTCTGTTGCATTGTCATGTTCAGCTTCATGTTTCATAGACGTAGGTGAATCTGGAGTGCCACCTTCATTCTGTTCCATGAAATCCAACAGAGTTCTTTGGTGACCATGCACCAGCTTTTGGCTAGCTAGGCTGCTATCCAACACCTTGCTATGTGTTTCCATCTTGAAAAAGGCACTAATTGAAAGAGAGAAAGTACTAATGGCCACTACACTGACAAGAAGCCCTATTATCCTTATCAGTCTCAGTTTTTTCCTAACATTCTGGTGCCGTTTGCAACCAAACAGTGGTTCCTTCAAACACCACTCCTCCAAGACACTACCAACAGTTTTTTTGCAAAGAGCCATTGTGAGTCCTGTGTGAGATGCTGAGGGAGTCAGATGGATTGTTCCTTCATAATTTTCTTCTGCTTAGAAGGTAAAGGTGCTTTAAGGGTTCTTCCATCAAGTTCTTTTATTCTTCATAGGAAGTATTTTCTTCGTTCGTACTAAAAGGGGCAAATAGGTGTTATTAACATTTGTAAAAGAATACATGAATAAAAGCTTTTATAGACTTGGCTAAATTTAGAATTTAAAGCAGAATATTACTGACTGCAACACAGTACCCTGCCTCATACCCTCAGGCACAGCAACAGTGTGTCTGCTTCAGCATTAACCCTGCGGATAAAAGTCTATCAGTACTCAAATCACTTTATGCCACGGCTCAGCATTAGGACTCAGCTGATGACAAAAAATCCTTGCAGAAAGGAAGAACTGTTCCCAGATGCACAACAAATGAAGAAGCTACTATTTTAATTGCTGCACCAAAGGTTATCATCTTCTGTAATTACTTTCTTCCACAATCACGTAATGCCCAATTCCCAAACGCAGAGGCAGTAATGTATGAAAAAAGCAATCAAAGTGTAACAAGCATCTCATCAGGCTTCTATGCAGCTGAGGTAGTATTAATTGAAATGTTACACGCATGTAGAGCAAGTCATTATAATGTGTAGGTAACACACTGAGCTGCTGGAGTAGGATCGAAATGAAGATCTGAGATACACACACCTTCTTTTACTCCTCTGCAAAATCAGCTCAAGTTTGCACAAAGAATTCAATTTGCTTCTGACCAGATCTAGGACATTAGTTTAAGCTAGATAGCACAAGAGTTTCATTCACCTTTGATTTTATCTCACACATTCAGCTATAAAAGTAGGAAGCCAAACACTTTTTGGCATTTATTTTTTAAAAGCACCCAACTTACAGACTGTGTTAAAGAAAACAATTTAAGCTCATGCCTTAAACTTAAAGGCGATGCTGAAACTTTGAGAATATGAAAAAGACTATTCATATCAGCGCAGAGTGGTGGAAGGACAATACTTTCAATACAGGAAAGAAAAAATTAAGTAATTATTATATAACAGGGACTGTGATTACCTAATTCAAAGACGACAACATAGAAATGAATTACATACATGTTATGCATAGCAAGCCACATTTTCTACAGCATGAAATATAAAATTGACTATCAATAACTTCCGATTACAATGTAAAACCAATGTGTTACACCACGTACTCAAGGCGCTTGCAGTAAAAGCTGAATTTTGAAGACCACATGAAATGCTGATTTTGTACTCTCAAAGAGAGAATTACAACTACATAAAAGTTCCTAAGTCACGTGCAACATTTCCTCGTTTTACAAACGGCACCCGCGCTAAGATGTCATAGAAACACGCTCCATCCCCAAAATACAGCACCACAGTGGAGATTTTCTATTTTCCACCTGAGAGTTGCACTCACCAGCCTGCCACACAAACACCACACAGGAAAGGCGGCAGAACGACAACATCGCTTCGTGCAACACACGTGCCACACGGGCCGATCCCCCGACCCAGCTCCCCCCAGTCCAGCCTGTCCCCGGCACCCCGCCAGCCGCTGCCCGCGCCCCGCGGAGATGCCGCACCGCCGCTCCGAACTCAGCCCAAGTTCGCCCCTCCCCGCACCGCTCCGCACCGCACAAACTTTTCTCCTCTCCTTCCGGCAAGCCGGCCCAGCCACGGTCCCCGTGCCGCAGCCGCCGAGGCACTGACCTGCCCGTCCGCGCGCGGCTGCCGGGGGCACGAGGCGCCCCGCAGCAGCCGGGTACCACCCACATGGGCGGGCGGCCCCGCCCGGGTAAGGCAGCCGCGCTCAGCCGCAGCCCAAGCCCCGCCCGCCCGAGCCCGGCGTCGCTCACTCGCGGTGCGCTGCTCGGCTCCGACGCCCGCAGGGGCTCGGGCACCCGCGGCCGCCGCTACTGCCCCTTGCCGCGCTGACTGCGGCGGGCGGCGGCTGCGGGTCCGCACCGCCCCGCACAGGCGGGGCAGGAGGCGGCCCGCTCCCGCCCAGGGCCGCCGGGGGCTTCTGAGAGCCCCGTCGCCCCCCTGACGGGTACGGGAGTGCGGGTAGCGGTAAGGGAGCGGCGGCAGGGTTTCCTTACGCCTCGGGTTGCCGGTTAACGGAGTTAAGTAATATTTGCTGCCTCCATAGGCAGTGATGAGCTTCGAGGAGAGGGGTAATTTTAAAAAGGAAATGTCTTCTCATCAGCGTGTCCTTTGTTCCAAATGTCTTCTGAAGGGAAATCAGGAAATGAAAGAAAAGAACATAGCGTTTTTGTTCTGACTTTAAGGAAGGAGACATGCCCACCGATAGTTATTAATCATCAGTAATTTACTTAGAAACACACTTGTCTTTAAACAGCTCTTCAGAACTGGCACAGAGACCGATGAACTGCGCTCCCTAGAAAACAGGGGAAGTTCAGATCCAGACCTTTCCTTCATCTTTCAATAAGGGTATATACTCGGTAAACTCCGGTTTGTTAAGCAATAAATTCAAGATTCAAATACAGTGGAACTGCTGCAGTGCCTCAGCATCGCTACCTTCATGTGCTAAGTGCTGCAGATCCACTAGGGCATAGAGGTGCTGCTCTGCTGAAATACCACTTGTGGTCCTACTTGATGTCTTTGTTACAGAAAGCCACGAAGCAATCTGCGGGTACAGTGAGGTAACCTAATGTGGGTAGGCCAGCCCCACAGGAAGCTGTTCACTGAATGAGCAGAGCTGGGAAATACTTCCATGTGGACATATCTGACAAGTGCAGAGATTAGGTGAGAGCATGCAGAAGCAGTCTGCTTGCATGGGGGTGGGCAGTACAGTCTTGAAGTTGAGATCTAGGAAATGCTTGGTTGCAAGCTCACTAACATTATTCTGTTTTCAGTGATGCCCTTTTCAAGTTCTGAAGAAGTCTGCTGCAAGCAGCAAGCAGATAGTACTCTTGGCCACTTTGGGCTACAGAATAACTTTGATTTTTCCAGCCTCTACTGCCTTCGTTTCTGAGCTGTGATTTCACCAGTTGGTAAACAACATAACTCTATTTGTGGGGAATACAAAGATGTGTTTTGATTAAGTGGGGGGAGGGAGGAGCAATGACTGACATTTGAAGTATCCTTACAGCTATTCTTGGGATATTGTATGAAAGATATTGGTTGTCCAAAAAAGTCTGAAGCATGTCATCTTTTTTCATCTCCATACCTGCAGTTTTCAATGCTTGGGTCTTTTAGATTACTTCAGCAATGATGGGAAACTGAAAAATTCTAGAGAGCTGTGAGATGGTGAAAACTTGTTCACAGAAAGCGAATAGATATCCAAGGGACAACATGGACTTGCAAGAGATACAAAACAAAACAAGGTATTTCCAGAATTTCAAAAGTTTCAAGCGACGGCAATGTCTTTTAAGTTGCCTCAGAAGACAGTTGTTGGCACAGGTGGTTTAGTTGCATTTCACGCTGGAAGGTTCTCATTTTAGAGGCTGACAGGTAGTGGAGGATGCCTATTGATTACTCACATCATTGCATCATCCTGCACCTGAAATATAAAAGAACATGTGGAAACTGCTTTGACTATCCACTTAGGGACATGACATACACAATAATTCATTAAAATGCATTTATTTTATTAATAAAAACCTGCATTTTATGTATGTATGTATATTTTATGTATATATATGGTCGGTGTCTATATATGCAGAACACAGATGAAATGCATCAACTGTGCTCCTACTCAGCCACGCCAAGGCTAGAGGTAAGTGTGCTTATGTGAGTTCTTGTGGTTGGTGCATTGTGGCTTGCAGTTTGTTAAAAAAAAAAAAAAAAAAAAAAAAAAAAAAGGCCTTGAAAAAAGATGTCCAGATGTTCTTGCAGCTTTGTAGATGTCAAAAGACAGGTTAGGATATGTGTGTAGTGCCCCAGTATCCATCAGCTTCTGAAATATTAGTGAAAGCAGCTGAATCTTGTGAATGACCACAGTGAGAGAAGAACTGCTGTAATAACATTATTTATATTATTATGAAAAGACTTGAATTGCAGTATCCATACATTTTTCTGTAGTTGTGGCAGTTGTGTTCCCAGTAGCAAACATTTATTGCAGTCCAAGGAAAATAAAAGCCATAACAAAAATGATGTAGTACCTAGATAGGTATCTCTTCATTAACCTGACCTTTTCTTGCCTACATTTTGCATAATAAAGATGACAGAAACAAAAAAGCGCTGTTCAATTAGTGTTAGGAACATAACTAACAATAAAACAGTTTCTATATTATGCTCTCAAAATTAAATGTCAGGGCATATCCTGGCTAAATGCAGTATAATTGGGTTAGCTGAATGAACCTATCTTTGGGCTACATCTGGCTTTATGTTTCTCTTAAGTAAGAAGAGAAAAGACATCTACTTGCTAAATGCATTCTGCAGTTATGCATTTGTGCCCATGACTAGGTGTTCATTTTTATATAAGCAGGACACATTAACCGTTTTTAATTTGCTATGTGGGATGCACTCTCTGAAACAGTAAAGCATTCTTCTTTATTCTTTTGCAGTATTTCTTTGCTGTTTTACATCCTAGACTTGTTATGAGCAAGCACAGATGTGTCTTTTGTCCACAGGAGAGGAAAGGAAGAGAGAGCCAAATGAAAAATCCTGAATGACAACATCTCCAAGTATCACAGCAGTACCTTCTAAAGCTGGAAGATAAAGCTGATGAGGTGGTTACCATGGCTACAGAAGCGGCATATTTGAATGAAAATTGATTTTAAGCTTTTAAATGCTAATTGCATCTGTGAAAAGGTGACATTTGAAATATCTTTTTCTTCTCCCCCTTCCCTCTCCTGCTTTGCATTGTACAACGAGTGAAAGAAGAGGGTGACAAAGGTGACAACACAGAGTTAAGTTAAAACACTGACGCAGTCTTCAACACTAAAGTATGTCGCACCATTTGCTTGTGTAATAAAAGTAATAAGCGAACACATATATAGATCACAGTATCTGAGGAGCAAAAACTGTATCTATAACCCAAGCAATACATTTTTCATCACATTGTGAAAAATTAAACAGCCTTATTTAAATTAATCATCAGACCAATTTGTTTCTGGTAGTTCATAAGAAAGAGGCTATTAAAACTTAGCATTCAGAAACTATTATAAATTCTCAGTGATGAGGAAATTTCGCAAATGCCTGAAATTAGAAGCATTTCTTATTTCATTTCATACATCAGGAAGTAAACTTGAACTTCTACACAGCAGTAGACTCAGGCCGGAGGGCAAAGGTGCTGTACAGACCAGTGTCACTGTGCAGCTACTGCTAATTGCTGCCACACCACCGTCTGGCCATGCTTAGGCTTTAGTTGTAGAAGACATAGAAGGTGTAATTTACCTAGCTGTAAGCATAGGTTTAATATGATCTCAAAGCTTTTTAACTTGCAGTGGGTTGTTACATCCCACTTGTTAACGCTTGCTGTTTGAAACACTCCTGATAGGATTACTGTGTGAAACATGATCAGTTGTAATTCAAATTTATATTTTGTTACAAATATATATATATATATTGTAATTCTTTGAGGGGTTTCAGATTACTTCAGGTGTTTTTTTTTCTTTTTTCATTTTTGTTTTTTAATATGCAGTATGAGAAATCTAGTGGTTTTGTCTATGTTCTGCTTAGTTGTAATACACACTGTAACAACTTACGGTAAGGAGGCTAAATTTTTGATTCAGTTATTGCTAATGAACACTATGAAAAAAATGTAGAAATACATCAAAGGACAAAGGCTTTTTTTTGTGCTGTATTTATAGAATACTAAATAAAGTTCTTTTCTTATAACGTCCAAAACAATGAGTAGGCAATCATGAATGTGTATGTTAGTCTCCATAAGGGGCAGCCTTCATAGAATCATAGTTGAAAGGGATGTGTAAGAGTCCCTTCAAGTCCATCTCCTAGGCCTGATACATCCATATCAGAGCAGAACCATAACATGACATCGAGTGACATGACAGAAAATATACTGCATCCTTCTTGAAATCCACTTACCTAGATATATAATGCCCAGGTGATTGTTTTTACTTAAACAGTCATAGAAATTCCCAGTGAGCAGGGAATGAGGCTCTATGACTCTCTCCTTCAGATTCCTTTCCCTTTCAGACATGCTAATTTTCTCCTATGACATTCCATGTATGTTAGTGCCATTATTTAACCTCAGCAAGGAGGTGTGGAGTCAAAGGGAAAGCTTATTTCATTACAACCTGTGGCCTACCGGGCTCATTCGTGAGAAAAAACCCCTGTGCGCTGGCAATTCAAGCAGCCTTAGGATTGCTTGCTGGTTTGGTGGATGAGCTCCAGTATTGCTCCCAGCTTCTCAGTAATGTCATGAATCTTGCTGCCTCAGCATGAGATCTCCTGCTCCTTGTGTTTTGAAAGACACAGGAGTGCCTCAGCACCTTCCCAGAAGGATGGGAAAGAAAACTGGGGAAAAAAACAAAGCAGGACTCACGGGTTGAAATGAAAACTATTTAGTAAGACAAAAAATAATAGAAAAATAATAGTAATTGTAATAGATATATACAAAACAAGTGACGTACATTGCAATTGCACGTCACCCACTGACTTATGCTCAGCCACTGTCCAAGCAGCATCTCTCTGCCAGGTGAACTCCCTCCAGTTTTACTGTTCAGAATGTTAAATGTGGCATGGAATATCCTTTCAGTCAGTGGAGTCAGCTTGCTGGTTCTGTCCTTTCCTTGCTCCTTGTGCCTCCTCAGTCCTAGAAGCTGAAAAACTGAAACGCCCTTGGCTCTGTGCTGCACTACTCAGGCAACAGCTGAAGCATTGCTGTGTTATCAACATTGTTATTCTCCTAAAGCCAAAACATAGCATCATACCACACACTATGAAGAGAATCAACTCTGTTGCAGCTGAAACCAGGACAAGGTCAAGCTTGATATAAGCTATAACTGATTACTTACCCAATCTATTTTTGCCCAGATCATCATCAAGGCAGAGCTGGAGGCAAATGTCTCCCACTGGCCATACAATTCTCACAAATTAAACTATCTTCTCTGCTATGCCATCATGCTGTAATTACTCTTTTCTTTCTTTTCTTCTATTCACATGTTCAACATGCTCAGATTTCTTGCATTTGATGAGTTACAGACTATTTTTCTGCATCTTTGCAGTAATCTGATTTTTATGTAAACTCAGACCTTGTGGAATATTTCAGGGAAATAAATCTAAGTTTAAAATTGTCCTTGAATAGTAAGATGTGAAATGGTGAGCATTTATGAGATAATCTACTGACTAACCCACTACACGTGTGCAAAAAAAAAATCAAAAACCAAACACAAAAACCAAAAGCAAAACAACAACAACAAAAAAAACCACCACCAAAAACAACAACAAAACAGAAATAAAAATAAAATAAAATGGTAGAACAGCATCTTAAGACTGAAGTCAGTGCTAGCTCCCAGATCATAAAATCAATCATAGAATCGTAGAATGATCTGTATGAAAATGACCTCAAAGATCATCTGGTTTCTACCCCTGTGCCATGGCCAAGGTCACCAACCACTAGATACTTCTGAGGAGGAGGGGAAGAGAAAGGGAAAGGGAAAGAGAAAGGGAAAGAGAAAGGGAAAGGCAAAAGGAAAAGGAAAAGGAAAAGGAAAGGAAAAGGAAAAGGAAAGGAAAAGGCAAAATGAAAAGGAAAAGGAAAAGGAAAAGCAAAAGGAAAGGAAAAGGAAAAGCAAAAGCAAAAGGAAAGGAAAAGGAAATGGAAAAGGAAAAGGAAAAGGAAAAGGAAAAGGAAAAGGGAAAAGGAAATATGTCAATTCCCTTACACACTATTTGGTCCTTCTATACACAGTACCAACTAACACTTCTTGTTTAATAGTCCAGCATGTGTGAACTCAAAACTGGATGTTCATATACAACAGGCAATAACATGCTGAGGCCAGAAGAACAAAGACTGCACCTGTCATTGTAGTTTCGAAATTTTTTATGGATGCAACAGAAACAAAAATATTTTAAAGAACAGATGATGTATTAGGCTCTGCATTTGGTAGTGGTCACAACTTTGATTCATGCAGTATTAAATTAAAGAGTCAGATCAAAAGAGTTGGTTTAAAGCAGCACTGCAAAATTAGTCCCATCAACTGAAAAAAACCAGACCTTTCAAACTAATAAGAGAATCTGGAATCAAAACATGAAAGGAAAGTTAGAACTGGAGTAAATGGAAACCCTGAGAAGCTTTCTGAAGACAAGCCAATATTTTTTTAAAGAGGAAGGCTCAACCCTAGACTGTCCAAATAATTCAACTATGAACAATTTTTCTGTATTCATTACAGCTCCTTTGTGGATACTCATCCCAAGACCTAGCCAAATTTCCCGAGTTTACAAACTTGTGTTCCTTAGAATAATTTTGATCTTTTGTTGCACTTCAGTAGTTTTTAAAATATCAGACAGATGAAACATTCCAACAGAGTAGTTTGAGGAAAGCAGCGTAGAATTACTTCCACAATTGAAATTCAAGAGAAAATACAATAAAGGGATCTGGAATTAACCATATTTTTGTTTTAAAATTCATCTTGATTATGATACAGTTTAATGTGTAGGCTAAGATTGGAATAAACAAATGGTAGATAATTTGGAAGATGGCTTAAATATTCAAAAAGCTCAGATGCGTTGCCAGTTAGATATTCTAAAGGTCACTGTAACATGTTCATTACATTAAGGACAATTTAAGAAGATGGAACACAATTACTTGATCTGGGGCTAGTCCAGATATGTGATCCTTAATGATGAGACTCTCTGTTCTGTGTCAGACCTGAAAGATGTTGACTTTTTGCAGCTGCCTCCAGCTGGACCACCAGCATTATTTCCTGCAGAGTCTAAAAATCTTCCTCAGAGTTCTTAATGGCTATTGCCACTTCAGGATGTCAGAAAAGCTGGGAAGGTTCTGCCTGTGCTGTTTCAAATGTATCAAAGCAAAAGGGTTTGGGACTGATCTTTGTTTTGCAAAGTATCTTACTCAAGTGACGCTTTGGTGAGGAGTAATAGAAGTGGGGAGTAAGCTTGTGTTGGACAAATAGAGGCTTGAAAGTCACTTAGGTCAGTGTAGTTGTTTATGCAGTAAATCAAGAATTTGGTTTTCAAGTACTTGCAGAAGGGAGACATCTCCACAAACGTGCTCTTATGGGCTAGCAAATAGGAACTAGAAGTGTTGCTATTCATCTTTATTTTTGGTTAATACATTTTAAAAATCAAAATTAAATAAGTGCAAATGTTATGTTTATCTTCATGTAAGTATGCTACTTCCATCTCTAAAGTTTATTACCTGAAACTTTATTATGGACAGAAGGTAATGAGTTCACATAGTAAGACTTCCTGGTTTCAGATAGGACTGAGCTGATTTTTGTAACAGTGTGATCTGATTTTGGCATTAGGAGAGAAAGCAATATTGATAACATACTGATGTTTTAGTTGTTGCTGAGCAGTGCTGTACAGAGATCTAAACTGGCCAAAGGGATATTTCATACTATGTGACACTGTGTGGAAAAACTATAACACTGAGGGGAGTTGGTGTAAAAGACTGATGAAAATGTCCCTCCACTTACGGGAAACCAAAACATAGCTTTACACCAGGCGTTATGAAGAAAATCTGCTCTGTCCTAGCTGAAACCAGGACACAAATCAACACAATGTAATACCAAACAGCCTCTCTTCTCTCCAGCAAATGTATTAGCAGAGCACAGACCCCATGAGTCTCTAATGGGAGTAGAATCAGCAAATGAGCAAGAAAGCTTCTAGTCTGTCCTGCACATCTAGTATTAGGGCTGCCTTGGATGAAGCTGGGAGGAATCAAGGGACAAACGGACAAGCTTTGCTTCAGCCCATGCCCTGGTGCAAAGGAGAAGCATGAAGCAGAGAGGAGCCCTGCTTCCAGGTGTTACTTGTGGGCACGGAGGAGCTAACTGGTCTGTGGGTGCTACCAAAGACACTGTGGACCACAATACAGAGTGGGATGTGGTTCTTCCCATAGAGTTCAACCTGCTGCTGTGAAGTCCTGAGGAAAGCTGTATGTTTTCAAACATCAGTGACTGCAAATTGTTGAGAGTCCAAAAGCTATGGATGAATGAGTTTTCTGAGCAATAGTTCAACATCTGCAGCAGGCCTGCTCAAGACTTCCTCAGTTTTTTTATAGCACCAGCTCCAGATATCATACCTGATTTTTCCAAAGCATATTTTACTCCCCTACTGATTTATAACAGGCATTGTCAAATTCCTGTAGTTAGTCAACTTATTAAGTTTTATAACCATTTTCATTTGATCTATTAGCATCCTGTATTGTTGTTTAAATTTTCAGAAAGTTGTGGTTTTGTTTTCCTATAGTAGATGATGTCCTGATATATCTTGATATAAATGTAGCTGAATTTAGGTCTCTCACTTACAATACTTTCTTCACATCCCTTTTCCTTCTTCCTAGAGCAAAGGCATCAGATATTTTAGGTTAGCCAGTGTGACATCCTCCACCATACCCATCCATGATTTCAATCACTGTTCATTTCCATCCTGAGCAGATCACCTTGAATGCAGTCACGTAGCATGTGCAGAACAACCAGGGCATCAGGCCCAGCCAGCATGGATTTATTAAAGGCATATCCAGCTTGATCAGCCTGATTTCCTTTTATGACCAGGTGACCCACCTGGTGGGTAAGGAAAAGGCTGTGTACCTAAAGTCTAGACTTTAAAGGCTTTGACACTGTC